GACACCCTGTATATATATATATATATATGTATATATATATATATATATATATATATATGTATATGTATATCTAGCAGTTGATTATACCGTTAGCAAAGTACATTGTAATTTTTGTATATTGTCACGGGCGATCTTGTCACTTGTTATTGGCGCCAAAAATAATCATTACTTTTGAGACAGTCTATGTGTTTAACCCTCAGCTGGAGCACTATCTGTATTTCCCGATTCTAGAGCACTGTTTACAAATGAATTTTAATCATTTTCGACATTGGTGGATATTGAAAAGCGAGATTTCGATAAGGAGAAGATTGAAAAGATAAATTACTAGAAATTTTATATGAACTATACATGGTCTGTCCTAAAAATATTGAGGCTATTTTTGGCGCCAATCAGAATTGTTGGAGGGTAAATCCATTAAACGGGGCTTTTTATGCGAGATTTCAGGTATACATCTGACCCTTCCCAGTTGCCACCGAGCCTTTCTAGCAGTTGGTACCATCAGTAAAGTACGTAGTAATTTTTGTCTTGTCACGGTCGAAAATTCAGTAGTCTCGAGCAGCGATCAAATTTTGCATGAAACTGAGAAAATCTGGTTCCGAAACATTGAAGATATTGAGAACAACTTATGGGGGTGCTGCTTTGTCTTTAGAATTCGATCGCGTAAAGCTGCTCAAAATACAGCAGATTGAAGTCTGTGCTGAATTTTCGCCCGTGACAAGACACAAAAATTACAACGCACTTTGCTGATGGTATCGACTGCTAGAAATTTAAGGCTCGGAGGCAACTTACAAGAAGGGTCTTCCTATCAAAATTCTATATCGCAGCAAATACGATCCCTGCACTAAATGTAGCAAGCACGTACCATTATGACGTGTTATAACTTATTGCAATACAGTTATTTAATTAACTAATAATATGAGTCGTTAAAAAAAATTTTACACTCAATTTTTTTACACGCAAAAATTTTATTTAAAATATGTTTTCTTTTATTTAACATATTTTCGCAATACTACTTTTAGTATTACCACTACCTAGTGGTACACTATTACTTTTAATTAAACATTCCGTTTTTCAATTCTAAATTTTAAAGGCTCAACAGTAGATATAAATAAATCCGTCTTTAATTTTATCTCATTTATCTGAACTCTTCTGTCCACTTTGAATACAAATGATCGTATCAGAGTAGCTAGGAAAACTTTCATAGAAATCATTGCGTATTTTTCACCTGCAAGTTTAATAATTATATATAGAAAAAAAATCTCAATGTTATTGCAATATTTTGTAATTTATTTGTGCATACCTATACAAGTCCTTGGTCCATCGTTGAAAGGGATATAATAATACGAATGACAATCTTTTATTCTTTCTGGCAGAAATCTGTCTGGGTCAAATTTCAGTGGATTCGGCCAATACTTTTCATTTCGATACATCCGCATAAATGCTAGGATAACATTAGTACTTTTCGGTAAAATAGAATCTCCTGAAACGTATGCAATTATGTTAATACTACAATTCAAGTATAATAACAAAAAATATTACAATTAGCTTTAAATATTATTGTATTGGCAGATTTTATTACAGAAATATATAAAATTGGCAAAAGGCAAAACTATATTACTTAATAAAAATAAAATAATTTCTATTACGCTTTTTTAAATTTTTATCCAAATAAATATTATCTGTCCTAAAATTTTTAATTTATCTCCTGAATTGAATATTTTTCTAATTGACACACACAACTATATTTTTTATTAACCATAATTCAAGAAAATTTTAAAATAAATGTCAGGCATGTGCAAATAATAAAAGGCCAATCATCATTACTAATGACTAATTTTTCAAGATTCATATTCCTGAAATTTTATTTGTTTATTATTTGTAATAAGGCAAAAAAAAACTTATTATTAATATTCGCTTAATAATAAAAAATTGTCATACCTATTTTAAGATCTTTACTTAGCTGCCGACTAATCATAGGAACAGTAGGAAAAAGTCTCATTGTTTCCTTAATTACTCGATCCATATACTGCATATGTTGTAAATCTTCATATTTAACTGGTGCAGACATTGGGGTTTCCGTACCATAAATTTCCAACAATTCTTTATATACTCTTTCCTTTTACGAAATAAAATAAAATATTTTTTTATGTCAATATGAAAATCAATACAATGTAATATCAAAAATTATTAATTAATTGAATTTTAAATTGGAATATTTTCCGAGATTAATCAAAGCGTTCGTAATGATATAGATTTATATAGTATACATAGTTTACATATATATATATAATATATATATATATATATATATACAGGGTGTCCCCGTATAAGTGGCCACCCTTTTTATCTCGTAAACTAATAGAGATAGACCTAATAAATATAATATCTAATTAAACGGCTCTGACTAAACTTTATTGTAAGTGATCACTTAGAAATATTATATATTTATGTTAGAGAGCGAAAAGACATGATTAATTTTTGCATGGTGAGGTGACAATTTTAATATGATAAAAGTTGTAGCATTCTTTTTAACGAATACAACAATGTAATATAACGAAATTATTTTACGAATTATAAGAGTTATTTTGGTTTAAAATTCTGCGGGCAGCTACTACCTTTT